AGATCCTGGGAGGGAGAGAGAGAAGGAAGACTGGCCCGGGGAGGGGTGGCACAGGGGGGAAGCCAGGAGAGCCTCTGAAGTCATGGCCATGTCACACCAGTCACCGTGTTCCCGAACCTGCTCAGGAGGACTGGCCCACAGCAGGCCGGCCACCATGCACCCACAGCTGTGCCAAGTGGGGCACACCCCGATTTCTACATAAGCCACTTTACCTCGGTAAAGTTCTCTTCCTGCCAAGCAGAGAACATCCATCACCCTGTAGCTGTCAGGGTAGAGAAATCTGACTGAAGATTTCCCTGTTACCATTGGCAGAACTCCCAGGGTGCACCCCAGCCTCATGAGCAGGGTGGGAGGTGCCGGTGGTGCCCTGGGTGGGGAACTGGCGGCTCCAGTCACAGTGACCTAGAGCTCCCAGCACCCAGACCTCAGAGGGGGTCTCGGCTCAACCTGCCAGGATTCCTCCTGCCCAGACCTCCCGCTGGGCCCACACGCTGGGCACTGGCGCAGTTCTTAATGGCTGTGTATGGACTTGCCCTTTCCCGTGCTCCCCCCCCCGCCCCTCGAACGCAGGCCCCAAGAAGATCAGGTTTGTTTGGTCTGTGTCGTCCCCAACACCTCCAACAAGGCCTGGGGCAGATAACAGGTTTCCAGTCAGTAACTGCCAGATGGATGGATGGATGGATGAACGAATGAACAAAGGGAGGGAGGGAGGAAGGAAGGATGGCCCAGGCCCTGTGGCTCTCAGTCCAGCCCAGGATGGAGCCACCTTAATCCACACCTGACGGAGGTGCAGAGGGGAGAGCCGCACCCACCCCCGGTTGTGGCCGCGCCGGCTTCCTGCTGGGCCCCTGCTCCTGCAGCTCAGCCAGGAAGATGGCCTTGGCTTGCCTGGGTCCCCCTTTCCGTCCTGTCCCTGGGGTCAGCCACACGGGCTCCTGCCACTGACAGGATGCCACAGACTTTGTCATTGGAAAGGCAAAATATTCAGAACCGGGCCCCTTAGGGGGGAGTCATCATGGGAGAATGAGAGGTTCTCTAGGGTTCTGAGTTAGGACCCAAACACCTGACTGGACATCCTCCCTCCTGGCCTCCCTCTCTGTTTTCCTTTAGTCCATTCCATCCATCCTAACTTTTATCTGTTTGTCCGTTGTCCATCCATCCACCCACCCACCCACTCATCTAATACTCCCTGACTAGCCCCCCGGGCCAGGCCTCATGTTCATTGCTGGGGCATAACATTAAAAAGGAGATGGAGGCTGGCAGCTTTCCAGGCAGAGAACAGGTGGGTCTGGGTGAACTCGGAGCCATGCTGGCTGGGCCTGGCACACAGCAGTGCTCAGTAAATAGTTCCTGCCAAAGCAACTGGGGAGACAGTCTTGGCACTGGTGTGATCATCGCCCAAGGAGCCTTCCGACTGGCAAGGCAGCCAGTGTGGCTGGAGCGTGGG